CCAGGGGCCAAATCTGGTCCCCGGGCCTTGAGTTTGACACCCCTGATCTAGACAGTCACTTATCTGAAAATAGTATAGGTTCTCCTACTGGAGCATGGGGCTGGACTAAAAGATCTCCAATATCCTTTCCAGCTCATTCATTCGATTTTATTCTAGTTCAGGAACAGACACAACTGGTGCATAGCTTGAAACTGTACAAAAGCCCTCTTAGTCATATCTGACACCTGCTGTTTGAGCAGAATTCTCAAGCCTACAAAGTATCTGTTTAGAGCACTGCAATCCCATCTAATATGAAAGATGACACAGGCCTGAATCAGAAGATCCCAAAACCTATCCTCCAAACCCAGACCCCACTCAGTCGTCAAAGTTCAGCTGCAGCCATTTGTTTGTTTATTAAATTTGTATATCACCTTTCCCATTTCAGAGACTCTGACTGGTTTACAACAACGGTTTCCCATTCAGGATGCAAAAGGAACTTAAGCAGGATATCAATAGTATTGCTAGAGGCAGATTTATAGTTGTCATCAACTATAAATCTATAAATATCATCAGCATACTGATATTTCACCTCATGGTGACAGATGATCTCGCCCAACAGCTTCATATAGATGTTGAACAGAAGAGTAGAGAACATCAAACCCTGAAGTGCCCCACATTGCCATTGAAATGGGAAAATCAGATCAGTTGTGTAATCAGTTATGTGTCAGGTCCCAGATGATCTGGTACAGGCCCATGGCTGCCAATTTGACACCCCTGACTTAGAGGATAACATGTCTGAGATTGCTAAACCACTACATCTGAAGTAAATTAATTATCTTTTGTTCCATCAATCCACAAATAAACCAAATGGGAGGAATACAGGAAAAATTCCAACTTTCTGGCTGACTAGTCCATTAAATATTCTAATAGTTCAGGTTGAGGATGGAACACAGGAGAGGTAGAATGGATTTGATAGTCTCATAAGCATCACTGTGACTTTGTCAAAACAAGGTAGTTATTTGGGGTTTTCCCTGATGTTGCTCTCATTGATCTGCTTCATATTGTGGAAATCGGGTAAAAACAGTCATTTCATCTCCCTGTTCCCTTTTACATCAAAAAAGGAGAAATTTAGGATATAGATATTTGACATGATTATTTTCTAAGTCATGAAATATAGTTATTTCTTACAGTATTTCTTAGATCATGGAATACAAAATACTTTCAATTGAAATAAACTAATATCTCATTGGGGAAAAAAACCTCTGCTTTATGAGTGGTATAAATAAAAATGTGCTTTTTAATTATATTGTGCATTTTCATTTATCATCTCTTCCAGAAGAGAATCAGCTGAATTCCTACTTAGTCCTATCAATGGGAAAGAGCTTTAGAAAAAACAATCTGAAGAGCATAAGGTAGAAATCAGTATCTGATTTAAAGAAAAGTATGGCTAAAATACAACCACAATATTTGTCCTGCATCTAAGAAGAAACTCCACATAATATAGAGACTTACTTCAAGTAAGTATTGTAAGGGATTGCATTGTAAGAGTTTTTAATAAGATACAGACAACTGTCTTGAATGCATTTGAGTCAATATAAAAGAGGAAAAAATGACATTGCCATAAGTGTGTATTATAGGCCACCCAACCAAACAGAGGAAATAGATAAACTTTTCTGCATCAAGTGGAAGATCAAACAGGTTCCTGACAAACCTAGGAGAAAACTTTGTCTCCCAAAAAGTAGAGAAGGGAACTAGGGGATCAGTCATATTGGACTTAATTCTCATTGACAGAAATGAAATGACAGAATGTGTTGAAACTACAAGAACTGGGGGGTGGGGTGGGGGGTTGATCATGCAATATTGAAGTTCAACATTATGCAAGTACATGCAATAGAACAAAGTCAAACTAGAGTCTTGGACTTTAAAAGAGCTAATTTCAATAAACTTAGAAAAAGTTTGGGAAGGATTCCATGGATGAGAATCCTAAAGAGGAAAACAACTCAAGAAGCTTGGGGAATTTTGAAAAGTGAGATTATAAAATTCTAGTCTAGCACAATAACAATGAAGAAAAATAACAGCTCTCAAAAAAAAAACCCCCGCATGGCTGCATAAAAAACTCTCTGATAAATTGAAAGACAAAAAGGACATGTATAAAAAGTGGAAATAGGAGCACATAACTAGGGCAGAATATCAGCAAATAGGAGTTTGCAAAAATGAAATGAGGAAAGCTAAGGCTCAAAATGAACTAAGGCTTGCCACAAAAGTCAAAAATAACAAAAAAAGCTTCTTTCAAAATGTAAAAAATAAGAAAAAAGTCAAGGAAAAGATTGGTCCATTACTGGGAGAAAGTGGCACGAAGGTGACAAGCAATAAGGAGAAAGCAGAATTACTTAATTCATTTTTTGTTTTCATCTTTACACAAAAGCTAACAGTCCAACCTATCAAAAAAAAGTACCATAAAAAACAGATTAGGAAACCAAGTTAAACTAGGCAAGAAAATGGTAAGTGAGCACTTGTCCACCCTAGACAAGTTCAAATCACTAGGACCAGATGGATTATACTCCAAGGTTCTGAAGTAACGTGCAGACGTGATGTCAGAGTCACTGAACTATATCTTTCAAAGATCCTGGAGTACAAGGGAACTACCAAAGGGCTGGAAAAGAGCTGATGTAGTTCTCATCTTCAAAAAAACCCATCACCTTATTCCTCAAAGCTTCCTATAAATCAAGTTCATTAAAACACCAGTAAACACCATTCTCCAAGGAATTTAAGTCTAGAAGAAATTTATACCTTTTAAAAACTCTGTTTGCTTATCCTGTGAATCATTACGAAGTGCTGATGTGATAATACTAATCTCCCGCCATACCACTGGTTGCTCTGGAAAATTTACAAACCTGAAATAAAGAATAGGGGAGAAGAGAAATTTCTTCTTGAAATCACTAAGAACAGCTGAAATTTTGTTATGAAAAGCATGCTATTAAAGTGAAAAGGTTTTGCCAAACTGGTCAAATTAACAGCAGTACAAGTTATACTACAGAACAGCAAAAAATAAATAAATAAATAAAATTGGCTATTCAAAGGATCAATGCTCAAAAACTGACAAGTAAAAAAAAAGGACAATATGAACATTCATTGGTTAAGGGATAAAAAAGAGGAAAGTTAGAAACCAAATAGCTTATTTATTCAGTAAATAGCTTAAAAATCCAGTAAAATACATCTTACATGTCATATAACAATCTGCCTGCTGATGCTGTTCGTTCTGCATTCTTCTCAATGGAGTACATCTCATACTAGAAAACAAGAAAGAAGAGTGCGAAGAGACAAAAACATTCCTACACTGAGCATCTTGGTATTGCAAATTTTCTACCTTACCATAACTAAAATGAGAAAAAAATTAAGAACAGAACCATTAACAATAAATAAACATTAATAGAGCCATCAATTCCATCATATTAAAATTATGGTATTCTACAAGTTTCACTGTTCATTTCCCCAAAGTTTCTCAATTACTATGAATTGGATCTTATCCAACTGTTTTATGAAATTACTGGAAAACATTAACTGAATTAAATAGGATGGTCAAAGGTTGATGCTTGCAAATTTTATTATGGAAGCCTACCTCCTTTATATTATAATATTTTTTCCAGAAGGCCTTCTTTCAAAATAAGTTTATGAAAGGCAACCCCTTTTTCATCACATTCTTTATGTATTAAATTCAGGTCATGGCTGTAAATATCTTCATTTTATATGATACTTGATTCCCTAATTTAGGTTTAAATAGTATTAGTTGTCAGGAGGAATTATGTGCAGGTACTCTTCTGGAACCTTAATCCCTTTCTGGCAAAGATCACAATCATCAGCTCTTGTTTAGACCACAATCCAAAAGGGTTTAACTAACTCTTCTCATTCATTTTTTTTAACTATTCTCCCTGAGGGAATAGATTTCAGCAGGAAAGTGACATCAAAACAATCTAAGGAAGAGGACTTCTCTGTTATTGAAAAGGAGTTCAGGCCATTCCTTTATTAATGTAGTGAGTGCCAGTGTACAAAAGGTTAGAGCAGAACTGGAGAAATTTTAAAGGTTCTTCTCCCTAGCTAACTTTAAACACTATTCTGCAGGCATTATCTCAGTGTGGCTGATGTTTTGGGAGAATGAAAAAAAAAAAAGGAGGGGGGGAGAGAGGAGATTCATTGGTCCATGCAAGGTGAAAGACAGGAGACAAAATATTAAAAGTTCTTCAGGATGACTACATTTTCCAGTTCATATTTTAACAATAATACCAATGAATTAGTTTACAAGAGTTTAAAATCTACCTTCAATGTCTTCCAATCCTGCACCACAGAAGAAAAGGAGAGGGGGCAACCAGTTGCTCTTCCTAGTTCAGGAAGCACGAATATTTAAATAATGAAAGCAATAATCTGGCAATCCGTTTCCCCACAAAGATTCAATTCTGAAGGGGTATGAATTGGGTGGGCTTTTTTAAATTATTTCTACGTGAAGCAGAGGAAAAACACCAAACAATATAAATAATACAATCCTGGATTTCTCCACTAAAGTCCTTTTAAAAGGAGAACCTTTTGTAAAACGTTCAACGTTATCCCTTCGCACAAGGAAAAGAGCCTCCCGTCAAAGGCAACGAAGATGCTGCCTGCAGATGCGAAGGATAAAGTTCCCTGGAAAGCGGCAGGTCAGAGGCGGCGGAGCTCGGCTGAAGCGAAGCACCGGAAAACAAGTAAAAAGGCGGCATTACGAACATCAGACTCACAACCAACCAACCTGAATGTTGAAGTCGGCAGGATAGAGGCTCCGCGCGGTGATAAGCCAAGCCTTGGCGGCCCACAGGTCTCCCTGAACGAGTTCCCGGGCTCGCTTCACCAAAAACTCACAATCGCCCAACGCCGACATTTTGCAGGCCTTTAAAACTGCGCGCATGCGTACATACGGCCCAGTTTTTTTAAAAAAATCGAGCCTATTTAGTTCCTAGAACGAATGAAGTCGAAGAACAATTCTACGCATGCTCAATATCTGAAGTTACGCGGGTTTTTCTTTTATGGACGGAGTAAATTTCATTTGGATTGAATATTGGATTTCCGTAGCATGACCCTTTCAGGTTACTGTACAAATCACTCTTTGTTCCTTGCAATATATTTCGCAGGCGGAGTAGTACTGTTCACTGCTGGTAGCTCTGAAGGTATTCCCTGGATATTTGTAGCTAAATTGTAACCTCTCCCTCAAGCACCATGCGCTTGGTTAAACTGTAAATGAAGTTTTCGAGGGACTTTTAAAAAGTAAAATATTTATTAAAATAAGGAAAGATTTAGAGTTGAGTTTGTGAGTCTTCCACTAGATTTTGGCAACACAGGTAATCTGCTGTCTAATCATAGCTACATTGACGTTCTAAATCTTTTCACTCTTAATGTACTCATTTGCTACTTACAACATGTTTCCAAAACGCGACGATAACTTTAAAGTAAACGCATTTTGTACTATTTGTGATCATACTATGTGACAATTTACAGGCAATTCCTGCGTTTTAAATGAGGTAATACATTCAGTCAAAGTAGCTAATTTGCTTCAGAGAAAATCAGACCGTTTAGCAAGACAGTGGTAATATTTTCTTCCTCCGTTCATTTCTGATACAGTATAATCCAAAACAGGAATGATATTGCCTGTGAAGATCTAGATCTTCACATGCAATCATGAATTGGCTTCACAGGGCTTCATGAATTGAGGTGGAAAAAAATACTTTTACTAACCTCTAATAATTGAAATGTAACATTTCATTTATTAATAATGTAGACAGTGAAATAATGTATGACCTCAAGACTCCAAATGTTTGTTAACCTTAATAAATCTCATTAGCTAGAATTAGCTTATATTAAAAAGTATCGTATACTAAAACTCATTGGTCTAATGGGTTGATGTTTATATAATCATTATATTATATACTTGTAATTTTAAACTTTTTATAATTGTGTTTCAATTTTCTATTTCAATCTGTAATACAATCCACATCTACGGCATGTATTTTATTTTTTGCATCTTTTTTCCTTCCATTTTGTATTAACTAAATACAAAAACAATAAAAACACTACACACAATTATAAAAGAAGACAAATATGCTGAAGAAGAAACAAAAAGGACATATATTCACAAGCATACCCTATTTCCCCCAAAATAAGACATCTTCTGATAATAAGCCCAATTGGGCTTTTGAGTGCATGACAATAAGGCCAAGCCCTTATTTCAGGGTTCAAACAAATATAAGACAGGGTCTTATTTTGGGGGAGACAGGGTATATAAGGTTGCACCAGGGGTGAAATGCTACCAGTTCACACTGGTTCAGGCAAACCGGTAGCAGCAGCGGCACATGGTTCGGTGAACTGGTAGTGGCGGCAGCACAAAGCTCCACCCACTCGCCCGAGCATCGTTAAGTCCTGGTTTTAATTTGATTTAAATCATGATTTAATTATTATTATTATGTTCCATTGCTTGTGTTTGCATTCAGTCTGAATTCCAGTATGACATGTCACTCTCACCCAAAGTTCCTGGTATTTCAATTCCCTCTATTACTTCTTTTCTGTTCATGAATTAAGTCCAGCATGGCTGTCCCTCTAGTTCCCTCTTTTACTTTTTGGACAACAAAGTGGTCAGCTAGGTTGGTCAGGAACCTATTCAATTTCTTACTTGGTGAAGAATTAGTCTTCCACTTGATGTCAGGGTAATTGAAGCCCCCATCTACTTGATGTCAGGGTAAATGAGCCCCCCCCCCTATTATTGTAATGTGTCTTCCTACATATATTTGTTAATTGGTTAGCAAACAGTACATCTATTTTTTCTGCTTAGTTGGGTGGCCTGTAGTATACACCTATGGCAATGTCATTCTTTTTTTCTCTTATATTGACTATGCATTCTAGGAGGTTTTCATCTTTGACTTCGTGCATTTCTATAGCAATATAGTGGTTTTTACATATAGTGCAACTCCTCCTCTTTTATGGGGTCTGGTTTTTTTGAACAATTTGTATCCTTCTATCAATATGTTCCAGTCATGGTTTTAATCCCAGCAAGTATCAGTAATTAAAACTATATCATATCTACTCTCATGTATTAATAATTTAAGTTCACCCTGTTTGCTCCCCAAACTTCAAGCATTTGTATCTCTGTGTCTGACTCTAGGTATGCTTCCTATGTCTCCTAGTTGGTGTTTGAGTTTGTCTTTCTTCGCGTCGCTGCTTATTCCATTATTTGATTTATTTTGATTTATTTTGGATCAATAACAGCAGTCTTGACTCTAATGTAGCCAGAGATTGTCTTGTCTCAATTTGCTTTGCTTCATCTTATTGACTGCTAGTGTATATTTGGCAGAATAGGACAACTCTCTCTGGCCAGTTGGCCACAGTGTGATGTTCTAATCTAGACCCTATTTGGAGATAACTATGGTATACTAACTCAGAAATAAATAACAGAAATAAAGAAATAATTATCAATGTGCTTTGTTCTGCCTAATTTTACATAAGGTACTTGACATCCTTTTTATTTGGAAGCAAATATATTTGGGAGCTCTTTTTCTTATTGTAATTTGAAAATTGACTAAGCACTTTTTTACAGTGTAAAAAGCAAATTTCTGTATTACTTAGGTTAAAAATAAATACTTAGATTTATTTCTGAGAACATAACTGGAAGGTAGTACTGCTGATTGCCCTGAGATGCATGCCTAGGAATTCAGAAATTTCTAGAGCTGAAAAGAGCACCATTAATATGTGAAAAGAAAAAGCAAGGAGGAGGGAGTAAGCTTCCTTCCAGTCAGTGGAAAGAATATGTCAAATTCATATTGGAAAGATACCTTCAGCCAGGGCTGGACAGTTTAACAACTCAATTCCCTGTTCTGATTTGCACACTGAACTCTTTGACAGTACAGAGAAATACCTCTCCCTCCCCCTTCTCATTTCCTTTGAAACTTGCCTCGGGCATTTGAAACTTGTGGGATTCTGCTCCCCCTTCTCCATAAATAGCAGGTTTATGTGATAATGTTCCTTTTGACCATTTCGTTCCGTGAAGCTTTTTTTTTTTCTTTTTCTTGTTTTCCCTGTTCTAAATTGGAAATAGGCTATTTTTTATTGCAGATTCAGATCACTAACAGTCCTATGCCTTAACAAGTATGACATTTTGCAACCTAGGGACAATTTAGCAGTACTCAAATAGTACAGAGGGTGAGAAGTTGTCTTTAGTGTGGTTTAAAAAGAGAAAGATTTCCATGATTTCCAGAGTGACTTATGGAAGATAATAAATTATTCTTATTTTGGAACAACATGGAACAAAGTCACCACTTGTGAATTCTGGGAAAATAGCATGGGCCAACACAGATGATTGTATTCATGGTACCTGCTGGCAATTATGTAAGTAACTTAGAATTTTAAAAATTAATTTTAATTCTTCTAGAAAATTTAGTATTTTGCATGTGTGCTGTTATGTATTTTGTTAACAACTATTACAGAAGATGAACATTTCTAACATTTTTCCTTTTTGGCTTCCTAATTAAAACGATGCCAAAATTTCCAACACAGAAAATATAATTCACTTATAACTGAGGAGTATTTATTCCCTTTTAAAAATATCATTAAGTTAAAATCAACTAAATATTTTTTTAAGAAACCTGTATTTCAATTAAAGATCCTTTCAGGGGAAATATGCACACTTATTCAGAACCGAATTTCATGAATCCAGTGATTTTGGAACAGTTGCTTAAAATTTAATGTTATTGTCTACACTACAGAAAAGGCTTCAAACTGTATAGATTTTTAAAACCCATTGCAAATTGAGCATACCTTTTTGATGAATGGAATTTGGAGATTCAAGAAGATAATCAATGATAACAAAAATATTTTCAATTTTCGTTCAATGTGTGCATTGCATCAAGTGCATTTTTACTAAGCATGTATAGCTGTTTCCAGTACTATTGAGAATATAATGCATGACTTACATAATATTAGAATTGGCTCATTATATCACCTCCAGTTTCCATAATTTTGTACATGCTTTTTGCATTTCAGCTACTTATAATATGATTGATTTTATAGTTACGAGAGAAACATAATTAGATAACTATGTTATCTCCTATTTTGCAGAATAAAAACAAGTTTTCTTCATTTTATTGCTTGTTTGATGTAAGGGGAAAAATCTGGGTGTGGTAAGCATATAGGTAAAATATATAAGAGTAATGGGTTAAAATAAAGGTTGATGTTTTGTATAGAATGAATCACAATTTGTCTAGGTTTTACAGAGAATTAATGATTAAGGTATATATGCTTGATTTTAACAAAAATGCAACTGCACTTCTTGACTTGATTAAAATCATATATTCTTAACTATTACAGACTGATTCAACTTAACACTATTTAAGTGTTAACTTAATTTAACAGTATTTTACACAATTTGTATTTGGTTCTTGATTATAAATGTATATATAATTAAGAAGTTGGATTAGTACCAAGTTCTAGTTCACTTTTAACCACATATGTGCACAGGCAAATCTTGGGGCAGTCACTTTCTCTGGATCCAACCTACTTCACAGGATTTTTTTGTGGGGAAAAGTAAAAAGAAGGGGGTTCTTTCTATACCACCTAAGGCTTCTGAAGGAAAGAGTGGGATAAAACAAATCTAACAATGATTAAAATATCTGAAATATTGGCAAAATAAATGAGAGACAGTGTGATGTTAACATGTGAGTCTATGACAGCCTAGACCAAAGAAAAGCTGCCAGAAATCCTGTAGGACTGCTGTGAAGATTATTCTATTCTAGTGTAGTTGGATAAAGTTACTCACACTTGCTTGGATTTGAAATGCAGCTGTACAGGTTCTGTGTAAGTTACCTGAGGCATAGTCATGCCCAGTTACCTGGGGAGAGTTCAGAAGTGTTGATCCTGATGAAATGGACAGGGTCCTCAGAGCTTTGAGCTTGCCCAACTGGATCTTAGATCCCTATCCCTTTTTATGCCTTAAGGTATCCTAGCATAGGGCAAGTGGTTGGGTCCGTGTATTTGTGAATGCTTTTCAGCGGGAGGGGTGATTGCATCCTTGTGGAAGGAGGTGGTTATCGTCCCCTTCCTTAAG